TTTTTTTTTTTTTAGTGCTTGTTTTCTCTCAGCAAAACAATTTTTCATTTACTGGAAAGAACTGCATTCACGCTATTTGCTTCAAATCCAGGTAGCCCACCCACACAGAAGTGTACCATGAGCAAAACAAGAGAAAGTTCATCGAGTCTCCAGCAGCAGTCCCCAGGCTTTGCAAGGCTGAGGCCCATTTAAAAATAACTGGTAATGTTGCTGTGTCTTTTTAGCATATATTTCTTTCTCACCCCTCTCCCTGTCCCCTTTCTCCTGCCACGTGTTATGGCTGGGTGGTTGGGTTGTTTTCTGTGCCCAAAAAGGCTGAAACACTTGAGTTTTGTATCTCTGCTGCTGGAGGTACTCTGTCAGGGACCACTAGCCCATGATTAAAAAAAGGAGGTTAAAACTATCAGCTCAGAAATGAGTGTCCCGGGTCAGTAAAGGACAGATGCTTAGATATGGTGTCCCAGAGCACAGCTGGATGATGGGCATGGAATACAGGTCTTTCTCAGGAAAAGTTAGAACTATTCGGGGCAGGCTGTACTCTCTTCAGGACTCTTGGATAAACTTACCATAGAGTTATTGCAGAGAGAGCTGTAACTAAAGTGAACAGCATTTCTACTGTCACCTTCTACAAGCTCCTGAGTGACTGGCCCCTTACTGCATCTGAGTAGGATCTGATGCTGGATTTTTGCTCTTTCCCTTTTTTAGGAGAAGATGATAGCTGTGGTTTATTAAAACCTGGAATCCTGAAGCCATAGAAAAGAGAATCACAGGGTGTTACAATGCCAGGAGTGGGAAAAGATTGCTTAAAATTAATATTAACTATAGCAAAGGAAGAAATTTAAGGACAGAAAGGCATAAGCAGTGACTTCAGAGAAAACATTTGTATCATGGCCAAGTATTTCTCGTGGATGAGCCCCCAAGGTAAACATTTCAAAGGACTCTAGGAAAGGAATAAAAGATGTTTGCATCACTGTAGGAAGATGGAATGAGTTGCCTATGAGGAGCACTACACCTCTAACCTCAGTGGCACTAGGAAATAAAAACCTACAAATGTTTCTTCTCTGCTTCTTGCACTGCCCACTCAGTGCAGTCAGCTTTCACTGCTGATTCCTTCTGACAGACTGCAGTCAGCGAAGGGAGGCTGGGTCTGCACTGCTCCTTGTGTACTTCTGAGCATCCCTCACCCCCATGCAGTGAGTGTACTTATCTGGGCACCTCAAAACCAGTTACACTCATGGAGACTACCCAGAGCACAATAAACAAACACCCTTCCTGCCATGACATGTCCCCCTCTCTCTGAAGTGTCCCCTAAGCCGGGGATCCAGAGTGAGCAGTGGGGGAGATGTAGAACCCCTGATGGTTTTAACTCTGTGCAGCACCAGAAAAACTGAGCTGTAGCTTTTAAACTGCTGTTGCTTCCTTCTTGCCTTCCTGTTCACCACTTAAGAGTCATTTAACAGTAGTGTTAGTGGTCTGTTTAATTGCTGATTATCTTAACCAAGCAACCTAACTGAGTAAATGCAAATTCTGTACTTTTAGCTCTGAGTGAAAATTATGAAGTCTCATGAAATACTCTGCCAAAAAACAGATGTAGTAAGGCAAGCTGAGCAGCAAAAAATACAACACAGATGGTCACGATAAATTAATTGAAGACACAAGGCGGGGAGATGCAAAAAAATGCCATGGAGCCTATAAGTAGACAGATGTTGTTGGCTTTTAAAATGACCACATCTCCAATGCTGACACAGTGTATGATGTCACCTTTGCAGAGGTAATAACTTTTTAAACATTAATTCTCATTATGTGATTAAACTTTCTCTAGTACTAGACGGTAACTACTTTCACACCATATCTGAAGGGGTTTTGTCTCATCAAAATATATATTATTTTATCTTACACTTATGCAAATCCAGCTGACAGCAATTGACAGATTTTCATTGGCCTCAAGAGGCTTCAAATTATTTGTTCTCTTTCATTCAGAAGTGAATTTTTCACTGTTCAAAATTCACTGCAACAGTTTTGCCATTAAATTCAGCAGGACCAAGACTTTGTCCATGCCCTGTTTGAGTTTGTTCCAGAGTCTACTGAAATCAATGCAGGGGGAGGAGGGATTTAAGCTGATTTGGAAAGGAATTAAAAGGGGGGGTAGTGTAATGATAATGCCATCATTTCTCTGAATAAAAATATGGAGGGAATCTAATTATTGCTCCATTCAGTGTGTAAACTCATTGAATCATTGAATCTTCAAGGGATGTCTTGTGCAAGAAAACACTAACTTAAACACATACATCCCCTCCAGGAGAGAGCAGTAGGAAGAAAAAAGACAAGGACACCTAAGTAACTGCTTTGGGAATTTGAAACTGAAGCACAAAACAGTAGTAAGATTGTCTGGAGGCAAGAACTGAAAACTCAACAAGTCCCAGTGGGATCACACTGTTTGTGTAGAGGCTCCCAGAGAAAGCCAACTCCTCCCACTCTGAGACAGACAGAGCTCTGGAGTGTGCCTGTATTCCTCCTTGGGTCTAACAGATGCTTCTTTTAAACACTTAGGAAAAGATGCAGGGTACAAAATCTCCCTCTCATTATACCCTGAAACCTTAAAGCCTACATTTCACAGTTAGAGAAGTATGATCAGCCCTTCCTC